GAAAGACTGAGGCACACTACAGTTAAAACAGGCACGAGGGGCTGTGAGATGGTCAGTGCGCACAGTGCTTGCCATGCAAGCAGGCTGACCTGAGTTCAAGCCTCGAAACCCACCAACCCTACCAAGTTGTCCTCTGATCTACGTGCACACACCCACACACATATAATAATGATAAATAAAACAGGTACTAAAAGGAATACATTAGCCAATATAGAAGTAAAAATGTATGCCAGTTGTTGACTGAATTAGTAGCAATATTCAATATTGTACATGGAAGTTTGGTTGTGAAACCATAATAGGGAGGTACAGTAAAACACTGCAAGGGAATCCATCTGGTCCATGAAAGTTATATAAATTTTAGATTTTGAATTAGATCAAAACAAAGAATTTTTTTGATACACATGGCAAAAATTTATTGCATATACACTTTATATTATTTACATTAAAACACAAACATATAGAAATATATAAATCTCAGCAGTCATGAGGTAGGACTAGAGGAAGAATGGATTGCATAGTGAATTCTAGGCCATCTAGGGATACACAGTAGAAATCCATCTCAAAAAACATAAATGAAAATGTAAAGACTGATATATACACATAATCTATTACAACACATTGTATTTCAAGCTCTGGAGTAGGGCTTACTTTTAAATCATTAACTCAAGATGGAAACACCTGTCACAAGCTGGGGAGCCTGAGGTAGGAGGACAGAGTCCAAGGTTGGCCCATGCAACAAAGCAAGACCCCATAATAAAAAAAACTAAAACTTGAAGTTTAAACGTTCCTTTATTTTACTCATTTGAGTTGACAGTCAGCAAAAATGTTGCTTGGGTAAAAAGGGAAGGGGGGGAGGCACAAAGAAACTATTCACCAGACCAAGATTACAAAGCAAAAATTAGGTAACACTCATAAAGTATCATCCCACAAAAATATAAATTCAAACGTAACAGTCTCACAATGTAATGCTGGTGGCCTCCAACTTGTGGTTTCCTGCCTCAGTTTCCTAAATCCTAGGATTGTAAGTGTGTATCACTCAATGACTTTTCTGTCTCAGTTCCCAAATCCTAGGGTTACAGGTATATATCACTGACTTTCTCGCCTCAGTTGCCCAGGCACTGGGATTACAGGTGTATCAGCCATGCAAATAACGCTTCTGAGAGTACAGCTGAGTGTTCGCACCACCCAGGAAATGGCCAGGTGAGTTCCCTTTTTCAAAACAAATGCTTGTAGTTACAACTAAAAATCTGTTTCTTATTTTCTCCAGGCTAAGTTTTAAGTAAAGTTATAGGAGATTGATTCGGAAATTGCTACATGGGTAAGAGACCCGGGGAAAGGAGAAAAAAATTAATGTATGTAAAAAATAAAATGTACATTTGTTCTCTAACCTAGCACACACAACCTTAAAAGCTTATTCTGACAATACACTTTCATAAATACAGGAAAGGGGGACAGGGGGAGGCTGGTAAATTGACTGAAGGCACTTGCAGTATAAGCCTGACTATCTGAGTTGGGTTATAAAGAAGAAATGAACCACCTCTACAAAGTTGTCCTCTGACCACAACCAAGCCCTCTTCATTCAAGCATGAACATGCACATATACTAATAAACAATTTATTTTTAAAATTAAAAAAAAAAGCAGGGACATGTACTCATTGCAAATAACTAGGAGATGTAAAAAAAAAAAAAATTAAAAAAAAAAAGGTAGGATAAGAGCTGGGGCACAAGACATTGCCCCTGTCAATGTCAATGTCAGCTGAGTGCTGGGATTACAGTGTGTGGGCTGCTGTACTCAGTTAATGTGGTACTAGGGATTGAACCTAGGGATTTGTGCATAATAGGCCAACACTCTACAAAACTACATACCCAACTCTATTCTTTAATCTTCTTGATGGAAATCTAATAGTATTTTGTTTTCAGTAAGACAATGTTCTAATCTAGGTGATGCATTAGCAAGTATTTAATAAGAGTTACGTGCTGTATTTACGGTTATTTATTTGGAGACAAATGTACAACCACGCAGACTAGCCTGGCTGGGAACTATGTTAACTATCCTAGCATAGAAATCATGTTCCTCCTGCTCTAACTCCTGAGATTACTGGTACATGCCACCATGACACCTTTTTTTTTTTTCCAGTTTACATCTTAGCAATAAATTACCATAGAATATATTTATCTATCAGGGGAAAGAGCAAACACACAGACTGCTGCGAAGAAGTGAATGTGTCACAACAGAAGCTGGGCCATCAAATACAGTTAAGATTTTTGTTTTTTTTTTTTTTTAAGAAAAATGAGTGGATTGTGTAGAAGAGAACGCTAATTTATCAATTTTCTTAATAGTTAACTCTATGATTTTTAAAAATAAAGCTTTCCACATTTCTTCTGTGAGGTTCACATTTTTAAATAGTTCAGCGATTAACAGGCCTAAGAACTAAGAGAAAATGTTATTGCACCCACAAGGCCCTGGATTTGATCACGAGCATAGGGTGGATAAAAGGGATGAAGAAACAAACACAGGCCCAGACACTTTGGATGTGGAGCAGAGCTCACTATTGTTGCTTGTTGGGTTTTTGCTTGTTTGTATTTTAATAGTGTTTTACCATGTAGCACTGATTTGGCTGGAACTCAGTATGTACACCAGGCTAGCCTTGAACTCACATCCTCTTGCCTCCTGAGTGCTGAGATTAAAGGCCTGCACAGACACGCCGAACTGGGTTTTCTGGAGTGAGTTGATACTCTTGCAAGGAGGACGTACATTCTAAGTAACCAAGTAAGAAGTATGCCCTTGTATGTGAAGCTAACAGTCAAAATAAAATACAATAAAATACAATCCAACAATATGAGTCAAGTTCTCACAAGAGACATTTGTCTGTAGTTTCTTTCTTTCTTTCTTTTTTCTTTTTTTTTTTTTTTTTAGGAATACAGCCTTTTCCAAAAGCCACCTTTCATTAAGTGCTCACCAGAGGCGCTGGCATCGCAAGGTTTATGACGGCGGCCACTCCAACTACTCCAGCAAAAATTCGTTTCCTTCTGAGGAGAAAAATGAAACAGCTTTTTCCATAAAGGCTGCTTTGGAGGCTTTTGAAGAGCGGGAGCACGGTGGATGCAGCCATCGCCAGGACGCGCCCTCCGGGCATTTTCCCACTCTGGAGACTGGCGCGCTGAGACGCCTCAGAGAAGGTGGCGCCCAGAGGCGCCGGGGCGCACGCAGCAGAGCTCAGCACCCTCGTCCTTTGGCCTCCCCCTCAACCTGTAGGTCCTTGAACCGCAAAACTCACAAAAGCCAGTTCTCCCGGAAACTCTTTAGTGCAGATAAGAACCGGAAGAGACGGGCGCAGGCTCTGATGTCACTTCCGCTCGTGCTCCGTTTGCTGCAGAGGCAGGGCTGGGGGCCTAGTGTTGCACTGTCAGAATTCTGGTTTCTCCGCAGTGTGGGGGCGGAGGCTGGAGGCCAACGTTGGCCTCGAGGACAGGACAGAATTAGAACCTAGGCTATGAGCCGGACAACGGGCGGGGGCGGAAGTAACCGGTGGCGCCCAGGTCCCGCAAGCCCTTTACCCACAAGGTTTCCTGTGGGTACTCAAACCACAGGAAGCTCATCAGAAACTGTTCTGTCTGCCTCCGCCGCGTTCTTAGAACCCTTGTTTTCTAGTCTCGCGGCCGTAATTATCTGGACCTCTCAAAGTGCTTCAGCAGACTGACCTTACCACAGTCTATTCCACCAGGCTCAAGGGGCCAATGCGAAGAGTTTGAGATATTAGAGGTTTCTGACTGGGAATCCTGCAGTGTCTCAGACTTCTCCTAACCCAATACCGACATCTTTCCCAGCAATTATTTTACCTAGCCCCCAATTTTATTGAATGCCCTTGGATCCCTAAGCAAAACGTGAGCTCGAGTCTTGGCATTTGTCATCTCAAGTCACAGGAAAAAATGTCCAGTCATTCAAAACCTGATACCGATGCTCCCGATACATGAAGGGCCAGTTTACCAACCCTACAGTTGAGTGGCTGAAAACTGTAATGTTTATTAGAAGCCTCTTAAGGAACTTTCAGGACTGAATTTTGACATCTGTTGGGCAAAGTGAGTCAAGACCAGCTCTTGTAAATGAGAAAAGGAGCTTTAACCACCTTCTGATGAACTTAGAAGAATGTCTGGCTGTGATCGCAGGATTTGTTCAGAGACTTGTGTTGCTTTAGAAACAATATACTAATGGTTTCTCATGGAGAAATCACTGTACACAGAGCTGAAGGAAAAGCTCTTTTACTAAAGCATCCCACCAAATGGGGCAAACACCCACACACCGACTGGGGTATTGAACAGATTTTGCTAACACACTTTAGAGTTACCCATTTTACATTACACACCATATCATCTTAAATTTTTTCGCTCCCAACCCCAGGTTACACTTTGAACAGTTTAAACTGAGACAGGAGACTTCCAAGTTTAGCCACTTGGGCAGATGGGAGATTTAAAAACAGCAAAAACATTGCCAGAATTATTTAAGAACACCAGTGTGGTTCTTCTCAAGTAGATGAGACCCAGGATCATGCTGTCCAGACGGCAGAATTGTGCTTTATTCAAGAACTGGCAGCTTTATGACACATGCCAGGGCTTAATGTCCGTTGTTGACTGTGCTCTGCCCCTTAAACTTCCTGTTAGAGGCATGGTTCTTTGAGGATGGAGTAATGGCTGTGCAATCCTGGTGGACAAACATTTACATCCTAGCATCATGAATGTACTTATCTCTAACAGGCCTGAGTAGCACACTACTTATCTTTGAGGGTTTGGGGTAATAGCACCCCCTTAAATTCTACTTTGCATGATTTAATGTCTCCTTAGCAAATCCTCTCTAACATCAATTCTGTTACTTGAGTTTCCTGAATCTCACTGTAATGGTGCACTCGATTCTAGGTCCCTGCAATTATGATGCCCAAAAGCCCAATGATGGGAATCTGTAGGCAAACTGTCTAGTCTACTCAGAAAGAAACAATATTAACAAATTAGATTTTAAAACTGGATTTAATGTTTTAGAATAGCAACTAAATAAAAGCAAATGGAGTACATAAATTTCAAGCATTGGGTAAAATTTCAATGAAAACATCATTACAAAGAGAAGGTACATGCAACAAATACAGAGGAAAAAAACAAGTTGCTAAAAATCCAATTTTGTTACTAATTGCATTATACATAATGGTCTAAAAGAATTGTTAATCAGGACTTTTCAAGTATTCAGAGTTTTAAAACTGCAACTAAAGTATGTATAAAAGACACATCTACAGCTGGGTTATCGGTCAGTGGTTAGCGTGAGTAAAGCCCTAAGTTTGAATCCTAGCACCCCCCCTTAAACATTTTTAACTAAGATTACAAAAAGAGAACTAGTATAAATAGAGACGTGTGAATACCTACCAGAGTCAATGGATTAAAAACTATATTTAGAGTTTGAATATTTCAAGACAATTTATTCCTTCCCCAATCATTTACCAGACTTGAACTCCTCCTTTGGGTGCATTTGTCTTCTCCTGTTTGATTTAATTTTTGGTCTTCTTAAGACAGTGTTTCACAAAATAGCCCAGGTTCAGGCTATCCTTAAATCTGTGACCCTCCTGCCTTGGCTTCCCAATCACCAGGATTACAGTGTGCAGCAACACACTCTAGTTTGCCACAGATACTCTCTGTCTCAAAGAATACTGGATACTTTCAAGATTAACTCAATATAAATACATGAAGAAATCATCACAGAATACAATAAAGACCCAAAGTAAACTTAATTATACAACCAGGAAACATTAGAAATACAAAGAAAAAAATGTTTCATATGTGAAAATGAAAGCATGCCTAGAAAAATATACTCAAAAAAAAATTTAAATGATATTGTAAATCTTAGGTGTCCTATAAACATAAAAGATACAGAACAGTTTAAAAACAGGTACCCAAAACAGTGTCAATTATTCTAGGTCTAAATAATCTAGTATCTGGGTTCTTCTAGGTAACTGAACAAGTTAAGAATTTAGAAAAGGTGAGGAATACACTTCACTACAGCATATGACACTGTTCTAATCTACAGCTAAAAGCCAGGCAATTTATTTTAAAATCTGGTTGTTTTGGTGGTATTGAGGATTGAAACCAGAATCTTGTGCATTGCTAAATAGGCACTCTTCCTATCCCTACTCCATTTCTTCTCACACAAGGAAAAACTATTTGCCAGTTACTCAAGAGTATCTATGATGATCTCTGTGAGTAATCACAATCAACACTAAGTAGTAAAAAGGATCCATCGGGCTCAGGATTGTAGCTCAGCGGCAGAGTGCTTGCCTTGTCTGGGTTTGTCTGATCCCCAGCAATCACACAAAACAAAAATTACCTTAATATCCAACGTGAATGTATCTAAGTATTTAAGGTTAACAACAGACAACTAACATAATTATCATTAATAAATGACAGCCTTTACTTTAGAATCCTTTTAATCATTCCAGTATTTATTAGGTAGAACGCACCGATGAAATCCTAGGTACTTGAGTGTTACCAGCAAATGAATACGGTCATCTCAGAAGATACAGAGGATACATTTAATGAGTCCAAGAGCAATTTCGCCTCACAAATAAAGAAGTACTATACAATCATTATGCAAAATCCTGATATTAAGAACCCTCTATCCTAGTAAGCAAATCAGTATGATAGTGTACATACTCCCTTATAATTATTAAAAAAAAAAGTTATTACTACTTTCACTAGTGTGCTGGACATCATACTAATTTCTGAAAAGAAACAACTAAAATAGAAAAAAATACCATCATTATCTACAAATATGATTAATTATCTGGGAAATCAAAAGATTCTATGACCCTCTCAAATTCATGTTAAATCTAAATCTCAGCATGACTGTGCAGATAGGGTCTTTAGAATTTCATTTGATACTCCAGGACAGTAAGTGGAAACATCATTCCACAAGGCTGTGATTTTACCAGAAGAGGAAGAAAATCTCATTTTCAAGCTTTGTCATGTGAAAGTGACTGCATGACAGAAAGACTCTGCTCCAGAAGCCAAATATGCTGTTATCCTTTTTTCATGTATGTGCATATGTATGCTGGTGTTTACACATTTACACATAGCGTGTGGAAGCCAGAAGATGATGTCAGGTTTCCCTAGTCACTTTCCATTTTATTTACTGAAGCAGGGTCTCTTGCTGAACCTGAAGCTCATGGATTCAAGTAACCTAGCTACCCAAATCGCCTGAGGATTTCCATCTTGCTTCCTAAGCATTGGGATTATAGGTGGTCTCCATGCCCACCTGGCAATTAGATGGGTTCTGGGAAGCCAAACTCAGGTCCTCATGTTTGCACGGCAAGAGCTTTGCCTTCTGAACCATCTCACTAATCCCATGCTGTTATTCTTTTATGAGAAAACAAACTACTGCATATTGTCTGTCCAGTGCTGGAGATAAACACTAGCTATACAAAAGCTAGGCTAGAACTATTAGCACTAAGCTAAACCCCTGGGCCTAAACTTTATCCAAAAAGCAGTGAGCTAATGAGAACAAAGTATAATAATATGTAGACATGAAAATGGCATGAAACCCAATACTATACTAACAAAAAATCTCATTTATTGCCGGGCAATGGTGGCACACACCTTTGATCCCAGCACTTGGGAGGCAGAAGCAGGTGGATCTCTGTGAGTTCAAAGCCAGCCTGGGAGTCCAGGACAGCCAGGGCTACACAAAGAAACTCTTGTCTCAAAAAAACAAAAAACAAAAAACAAAAAACAAAGTTTTATTCAAAGGGAACTTTAAAGCAACCTGGTTTATGTTGCTTTTGTGTTATATTTGTGGCATGTATGTGTATACATAAGCACGTGGTTAAGTGTAAAAGTGTGTGTGAAAGCATACCAACTCGTAGCAGTCCATTCTCTCCTTCTACTATGTGGGTCCCTAGGATCAAACTCAGTTCCTGGTGACAAGCACCTTAACTTCTGAGCCTTTTAGCCAGCACTGGCTATGGTGTTTTATGATGCTGCAACACTGCAGTAAAGAACATGTTTAAAGAGTTTTAAGAGCTTTAAAACTGAGTGGTAGGTAGAGGCTATTCTGGTGAGGACTCCCTTTAGGAAGGAGGAACATGTTACTAGAGCATCAAGAAAAACTAATCAGTGATCTGTAATGGTCTTGAATCTCGCAGATCCTTATTCTAGCATTCTGTGTAGAAACTAGAACTTGAGAGTGATAAAATTGGAAATTTATCCGTAACTAAAGCGTTCAAAAGGAGCATCTTGGTTCCTCCTGAGTGCTTTCAGTAAAATAAAAAAGAGAACGCTGAGCTAAAGAGGAATCACTAAGCAAAAGAGAACTGTACGCTGAAAATCTCAGACTATCTTTATTACAATAACTGAGAAATGTGTACTAAATAGACCTTGCAGGCTAGGGATGTAGCTTAGGGGCAGAGTACTTGCCTGGCGTCCCCAAGGCCCTCAGCTCATCACCCTCAGATGATCATCTCAACCAAACTGAGGAACACACTGGACTGTGTGAACAAAGTCACTGCCACTTCAATCCAAGATGGACCCAAAAGATGGGACAGATGAACTTTTTCAAGTTTATAAAGAATCACAGGGATCACATCTGTAAATAGACTGGCTATTAAGAACAGATACGAACTATCTGATAGTCTCATCAGAATCAATGGGGTCAGAGTAGTTCCCTGAAGGAGTGTCTTTCCACAATCCACCTGTGTCCTATATTATCTTGGCTTGTGGTGAATTTTCGAATTATCAAGCCACACTGGCAGCCACTAACTAATAAAAGGATCAACTCTGTTTCATTATTTCATAGCATCTAGAAATATTATGATCACTGAGAGTCAAGCACCAGAATGAAGCCATCTTATATACTACCTTCACTTAAGACCTTTAGATGCTCAGAATTAGATATCCACGAAAAGGTTCCAGGGATGTAGCTCAGTGATTGAGTGCTTGCCTAGCATGTGTGATATTCTAGGTCAATCCTCAGCACTGCCCAAAAAAAGAAAAGTTTGAGGGGGCAACTAAATATCCTATTTCATAAAATTAAGATGGTGTCTAAGGCCAGTGTGAGCCATTATGACCCACACAAAGCAGTTAAGACTAATCTGATGATCTTTGGTGTCACTGTCAATATTTAAAGGTGGCAACAGATGAGCTAAATAGCAACACCCATACCCTCACATTGAAAGGGCTTCTCCTCAGTGTGAACTCTGCTATGCTTCCTTAGACGTGAGTAAACGGCAAATGCTTTCCCACACTGCTTACATATGTAGGGCTTCTCTCCAGTGTGGGTTCGCATGTGAATGTTAAGGGATGTGGAATATATAAAGGCTTTCCCACATATATTACACACAAAGGGCTTCTCACCACTGTGAATTTTCAGATGTTTAGTGCGATGGGAAGAAGTAATGAAGGTTTTCCCACAATGAACACACTCAAAAGGCTTCTCTCCTGTGTGAGTTCTCACATGATGAATCAAGCCAGAGGTCCTGGTAAAGGCCTTCCCACATTCCTTACATGCAAAGGGCTTCTCTCCACTATGAATGCGTACATGTGTGGCAAGGCCTGAATACTGAGTGAAGGCTTTCCCACATTCCTTACACTCATAAGGTTTGATTCCAGTGTGTGTTCTTACATGTTCAGTAAGCTGAGTAGATCTAGAAAAGGTTTTTCCACATTCCTTACATTCATAAGGCTTTTCCCCAGTGTGAACTCTTATGTGTTCAGTAAGGCCTGACCATCGAAGGAAGGCTTTCCCACATTCCATACATTTGTATGATTTTATTCCAGTGTGAATTCTAACGTGATCATTAAGGTATGACATATTTTTAAAGGCCTTTCCACACTCCTTGCAAACAAAGGGCTTTTCTTCATTATGAGTTTTTACATGTGCAGAAAGTCGAGAAAAATTAGCAAAGGACTTCCCACATATCTTACATACTTTGGACTTTTCTTCAGTATGAATTGATACATATTGAGTTAGGTGTGAGGAAACCGTGAAGGCTTTCCAACATTCCTTGCAGTCACAAAATTTTTCTCCAGTGCACATTCCCATGGGATTATTAAGGCATGCAAAATACTGAAAGTCCTTTCCACATTCCTCAAATTTGTAGGGGTTTCTTGCATTGAGAATTGGAAGATGCATAGCAAGGCTTGTAGGATGAATAAAACCATTCCCATATTTATTCCAGTCATAGGGTTCTCCTCCATTGTGAGGCCTCATATCTGTCTGGAAGTATGACTGATTAAAAAAGGCTGTCTCACAGTCTGTGCATTCAAAGGGCTTCTCATTTGTGCTAGTGCTTGGGTACATGATGTTTGGAGTCAAACTGAAGATTTTTCCACACTGGTTAAGCTCAGAAACATTCTGTCCGGTAGAGCTTTCCTTGAGCAAAGAAAGAATGTCTTTCCCATACCAGTTACACTCAGAACTGTATCCTTGACTTTGCATGCTCACCTCTGTGTTAAGGCGTAATTGTTCACCCAACACATCTCCGCATGGCTTAGAGTCACACACATCCCCTTCATTGTGGTTTTCTGACTGCTCGTGAATGGATGAATCACCCACCTGAAGACAGAAACATTTTATGTTCATTATGAATTTTAAAGTTTCTTTTCCATGCAATTATTCTCTGACCTCTATTTTTTCTAAACTGACAGATCCCTTTGCCAAAATCTTAATGAATGGCTAATGACTTGCATAAAAAGGTGTATAGTTCAATAAAAATTGCTTAAAACTTCCATGTCTAGTTTCATATGTGGAAACACATATTTGTGGAAACAGTGAGAATAAACCTTTATGATATACTTGGAGAATCTCCCAATTCATGATATTCCAAATAATTCTCCAGAAGCATCAATTCCTCTCAGGTACATACTACTCATCTCAAATATTTCTCTTTGTATGTATAGTTTACCACAAAGCCCCCCACCCCCTGAGTATGAAATAGAAAATTCTTTGCTGATCTTACCATTTCTACTGTACTGGAACTATGCATCCTAAAATAATTCTCAAGCTCTGAATCATCAACTGTAGGTTGTAGTTCCAATTCTGAAGTTAAATAAAAAGAGAAATGTAAAAAGTTCAGAGAATAAATGGTATGTACAAGGAGTTAACAGGCAAGGATCCTTCTTTTCAAATTAAGCACATTAAGAAAATAAAATAAAAGCAAGGGCTGGAAAGTTGGCTCAGCCATCAACCACTACGGCTCAAAACCCAAAATAAAGTGTGACAGACATAATGGTGCAAAACTGTGATCTTAACAAATAAGAGGCTAAGTCAGAGAATCTTTTTTTAAGTTGAGGGCAGCCTGGGCTATAATTATAAGACTGTTTCAAAAGTAGTAACAGAAAAACAAGAAAAGAGGAAGAGGCAATGGCTCATTGGTAAACCACGAGGACTCAGGTTTGAACCCTATAGCCCACATTAAAATGCCAGGCATGGTGGCACAAGCTCACAATTCCAGCAGAGACAGGCAGATTCCCTGAGGATGACTGCTCAACCAGCATAGCCTGGTCAGTAAATCCCAGATCTCAATGACAAATATGGTCTCAAAATATAAAGTGGGGGCCATCTTGTCATCACACTTGACAATCTGAGTTTGAGCCTTGGTATTGACATGGTAAAAAGAGAAAACTGACCCTGAAATTGTTCTCTGACCTCCATAAGTGTGTTGTGATGTATACACACACTCTCCTACATGATAAAGAAAATAACTGCACAAAGAGTTTTAAGGATTTGGTTATGTTAAAAATTTAGCACTAGGACTGCTCAGTGGTAGAATGTTCCTCACAGGCCCAGGCCCTGGGTTCAATGCCCAGCACCTCTAAAACAAAACAGCTGTAATTAAAAAACAAACAAACAAAAGAAAAAATGCAGACAACATTTTATGTACTGTCTTACAAACGTATCCTGTGACAGTTACAGCAATAGGAAAGTCAGAAAGGTCTGGAAAAACAGTTAATACTGAAATACTAAACTTAGGAAGGGAAACACATGGTGCATAGGCATGTCTAAATAGGTAGGACCAATAGATTATGTATGTGAAATGGAAGATTTCTTTAACTGAGAAAAATGGCTTCAATTTCTGAGGCCAGTACACTGTACAGTACAGAAAGTTTGATTGTAGTCGCAAAACAATACTGAGCTTGTCAAACAAATTTCTCCACGCATACTCACGTTGAGGAACTGTGTTTTCCACTGTCTCCAACTCTTCTTGTTTTAACCAGGGGGTCGGACTGGGAATGAAGAACTGACATCCTGCATATTCAGAAACATATATGAGATGCTCAAACAAGAGAGGACAAACTTTCCTATGGCCAAGGAAATCACAGTTCAAATGAAAGCAAGATACTTCTTTCAAAGTAAGTAAAAATGCAAATATGGGGGAGGGAGGACTGTAACTTAACATGCATGAGGCTCCTGTACCAGAAAAGAAAAGACAATGTTCCAGGTCTTACTAGCTCTCAGAAATTGTGTCCTAAAAAGACTGCTTTGCTCTTTCCTCTAAAAGGCAAATGCAAGCTGAAGTACACGTTTGAAAGGGGCTACAGCTCAAGGGGAGGGCATTTTCCTAGCATGTAGACTGGGTTTCATCTCCAGCAACACACACACGCATGCACATACTCTTGACAAAAACAAGTCTACTATGTTGGATACAGTGGTATATGAAATTTGAAATCATATAACTTGGGAGGATGAGGACGTGAAGTTTAAAGTCAGCCTGGACTACACACAGAAGATTCTGTTTCCAAAAATAGAGGGTAACAGTGAAGGTAAAGAATAGAGAAGAAAAAGGGGGAAGAAAAAAAATTAAAGAGTAAGGAAAAAAAAAAAGAAAAACAGAGACATGGTGGCACACAAATCTAATCCCAGCACTTGGGTGGCAGAGACAGGCAGCTCTTTGTGAGTTTTAGTTCAAGGCCAGCCTGATCTACACAGGGAGTTGAGGACAGCCAAAACTATGTAAATCAAGCCTGTTTTTCTTTTTTTTATACTAACTACAGTTTATTTACTTTGTATCCTAGCTGTATCCCATTCCCTCCCAACCCAGCCTCTCTCCCTCATCTCCTCCTTGCCCCTCACTAAGTCCACTTATAGGGGAGGTCCCTCCTCCCCTTCCATATGACCCTAGCTCAGGTCTCACCAGGACTGGCTGCAATGTCCTCCTCTGCGGCCTAGCTAGGCTGCTCCTCCCAAGGGGGGGGTGGGGAGGTCAATGAGCTAGTCATAGAGTTCATGCCAGAGACAGTCCCTGTTCTCCTTACTAGGGACGCCACTTAAATACTGAGCTGCCATGGGCTACGTCCGAGCAGGGGTTCTAGGTTATATCCATGCATGGTCCCTGGTTGGAGAATCAGTCTCTGACAAGCCCCTGTGCCCAGAAATATTTGGTCCTTGTGGAACTCCTGTTTTCTCCAAGTCTTACTAACTCTCTCTTCTTTCATATGATTCTCTGCATTCTGCCCGAAGTTTGGTTATGAGTCTCAGCATCTGCTTTGATACACTGCTATGTAGAGTCAGAGGCCCTCTATGGTAGGCTCCTATCCTGCTTCTTGTTTTCTCCTACTTCCAATGTCCATCCTATCTGTCTTTCTAAGTAAGGATTGATTTTCTTACTCTGGGGCTTTTTCTTTTTAAGAAATGAAAAGAAACAAAAATAAAATCTGAGTTATCATAAAAGAAACTGCTAAGAAATATCTTTTCTTTTTTTGGCTTTTGAGTCAGGGTTTTTCTGTACAGACTTGGTTATCCTAGGACTTGCTCTATAGTCTAGGCTGGATGCAAACTCACAGAGATCTGCTGAGATTAAAGGTGTGCACTACCATGCCTGTCAGCGGGCATGGATCTGAGACAAGCTAGGAATGGAAAAAAAATATAATCAAAATGTGTTGCATGACAAAAATTTTCTTTAAATATTCAACATCCTTAGCACTGAGAGACATGCAAATCCAAACCTTGAGATTTCATTTTCTCCTACTCTCAGAATGACAACCATCAACAAAATAGCCAATAACAAATGCTGAAGGAGATGAGGGAAAGGGAGCCCTTAGTCACGGGTGGCAGCACTGCAAATTGGTGCAGCCACTATGGAAATCAGTGCAGTGAACTCTCAAAAGGTTAAAAATAAATCTACAACATGATCCAGCTATACCACTTCGTGGCATATGCCTAAAGGACTTGAAATCCTATTGGATACAGACATTTACTCAACCATGCTCAATGATGCTCTATTCACAGAAATGGCTGGAGACAGGGAACAGTCTAAATGCCCCTCAACTAACAAATGGATGATGGTGGTACATAGAACTTATGGTGAACTTTACAGGTAAATAGATGGAATTAGAAAAGATCACAGTGTATGAGGTATACAAGACCCATAAAGATGGACCTCACGTTCTCTTATCTGAGGCTCTTAGTTCTAAATCTTCAGATGTAGGTATTCTACCTGGAGTAACTGCAGATACCAGGAAAGTATACAAGAACACTGCCAGAGTCAGGAGAGTGGGGTAGTAATTAATAGAGGAGAATAGGAGAGTGTAAGTGATCTGAACTGGGAAATTAAAAAAAAAAAAAAAAAAGGAAGACGGAGGGCTTTAATTAGGAAGAAGAAAGGAGAAAATACAGAAAGAAGGAAGAGGGTAAAATAACAGTAAGTAAGAAATCATACTACTATCTACCTAAAAATAACTGTAACACACATTAGTCGATATATAGACATAGATACATAGTTTAAATGGAATTTTCCCACCTGGGCTGAAAATGCTCCTTCCAAGAGCCACAGACCATCTAACAAAATCTCAACATCAGGCACGAAAAGCCCTCTTTTTGAGCTGTTGAACAAGGCTGTCCAAGGGACTCTAAAAACATTACACACTATTGCTGCTGCCCTCGGTTGCCCAACAGAGATAGAAGGTTAAGTTCCTGTCGCTGAAGTCACCATGCGCTTCATACACCAGCCTATAGGTGCTGAATGCTTCTTCCCCGAGGACCTGCTTTCATGGTACCAGAAGGTGCCATACAGGCTTCCAAAACAAGGAAGCAAACAAGAGTCCAACCCAGCTATGACACCTCTGAATCACAACTACCATGGCATGATAACTATAAGTGTACAAAAGTAACTTGCATACCCTGGAAGTAAGCAACAGCTAATTGGCCTTAAGACCTAATCCACAAGAGGGAAGTCATGCCTGGTACTGAAATCACAGATCTTGGGAGAACCCACAGCCCCCACTTTACTAAACCAGCATAATCCAACCAAATTCTAAATATTAGTCCTTACACCCACAGATAAGTGTAGTCCTCACCCCTCACCAAAGAAACATCTCTCTGCAACAGACGGAGGCTATTACAGAAAACCACAACAAATCAAAGTGCAGAGCCGTGTAGCTCAGTCCCAATGGATACATACATGTACAAAACAACCTGCACCTACGGTTCAAAGAACATTTTAGAAGAGAAGGTGGAAAGATTATAAAAGCAAGAGGATCAGGTAGTTTGCTGTGAGATTGTGTCTCTTAGTAATGTCAGAAGCTATGCACATAGTCTCAGCAACAGTGCTTAAACACGAGCTGGACAAGGAGGACACTAACAGACATGACAATGTGGGAGGGCAGAAGTTCATAGGCCTCAGTTCTACACAAAGAACTATAGACAACTAAGGAATGTGAGAGGCAAAAACAGTCCTACCCAGGGCAAGAGCACAGCAACTCGTTATCCAATACCAAACAGTCAGCCCTGAAAATATACACATACAAGTAAAACTATGCAGACTGCACAGGTTGTATTTATATATTTAGGGACACACACACACAAACACACACCCTACAACAATTAATGAAAAGAGACTATGAATTTGAAGAGAGTGAGGGGTATACTGGGAGGGCTTGGAGAAAAGGGAATGGCGAAATGGTATAATTGTATTATAATCTCAAAAAATAAAAAAGAATTTAAGGAAAGGGAGAGTAGAAAAAAGAAAGGGAAGAGAAAAGAATTGCCATTAGCATGTATTGCAGCAGGAATTTTATTTCTTGGAGCTGGGAAGATGGCTTGTTGGTTAGGAATGTTTTCTGCATAACCACAGGAACCTGAGTTCTTATTTCAACAACCCACATAATAAGCCGAGCATAGTCTCAAATGTGCCTGGGGCAGGATAGGAATGTTGGGTCTTAGTGGCTGAATGACACCAGAAGCTCTAAGTTCAGGGACAAATCCTGCCTCAAAGGAGTAAGACAGTGACAGATGAAAACAACTAATTACCTCATCTGGTTTCTGCATGTGTGCATATAAACACCCCCCCACACACACACCCACACACAAATTAGAAAAGCTTCATTATATAGCCCTGGATAGCCTGGTCTAGAATTTGCTATGTAGACCAGGCTGGCCTTGACTCAGAGATCCACCTGCCTCTGCTTTCTGTCTCTCAAGGGCTGGGATTAAAGGTGTGAGCCCCTTTACCCCATCCTCGTATAAAAGCAGTTTCATTTTAAAAACTGATCTGTTGTTCCACTACATTCTTAATTAACACGATCAATCTCTAATAAATTAAGAAGCATGTAATATGTATCTGTTTCAAAAAAGGTAATGAGGAATGCCCGCAGCCTTACCTAATGAGGTCAAGTTTTCATAGTTCTCCAGCATCACCTCTCTGTATAGGTTTCTCTGAGTCAGGTCCAGCAAAGTCCACTCATCTGGGGTGAACTCCACAGCCACATCATCGAAGGTCACTGAATCCTAAACCATTACACACATGTTGGTCTGAGCCCACTAACAGTCCTGCTTGGTACTCAATGCAAATTAGAAAGGTGGGCCTAATACCAAACATGGCTTGTCAGGTCAGCCTCAATCCAACTGCCGAGTTCAGTGGCCCAGGAACTCTTCTCTCTAAATCCACTCTCTGCTGACCTACTATCACATGACTTTAGCATGTGATAGTAAGCATGATTTCTACCAGCACAGCCAGGCTAGAAGCTCTTCTGTTCCTACTGTCTCATGGCAGCAAATTCTTAAGCAAACTGTAGATAATGTGATAAATAGATCTCCTTAGGAAAGGGTGCTCTCACCTGCCTGAGCATCTGTCAGAGCACTCAACAAAAGAAAACAACATGCAGTTATCAGTGAGGCTCAAGATTAGTTTGTGGGGGCCCATGTCTGTAATCCTCAACACTGGGAGGGAGGTTGAGATCAGCTGAGGCTATACAGTGAGTTCAAGTTTAGGCTGTATAGGCAGACCCTATCTAAAACAAACAAAAAGATTAATTAGTGAAGCTGGGGATATAGCTCAGTGGTAAAGAATGTGCCTGGTATGGAGAAAAAGGCCCTGGTTCAATCCCCAGCCAAGCAAACATATTAGTTATTGATTACAGAAAAGCTAGAATAATTTGCAAGGTAATATGTCACCAATATAAGGCTCTGCTCCCCAGGGAAATTCAACAAGGCACTCTCCATGCCCCAGTGAGAACGCACTTCCTTTAATAAGCCCTACAGTCAAGGCTGTCTAGATTCTAGACTCCAGGAGTGTATCTAGATCATAGCTGAAAAGGTTGTATTTGGTAGAATGATATCCTTTCTCTTTACCTGGTAACAATTTGCCTGGTTGTCAGTGACTGTCCCTTCTACCTCTGTGTTTTCTCCGTAGATGCAGACAGGCTGTCTAGAAAAAAGGCCTGATAGAAAAGAAAGATGGCATCAAATCTCAGAGCTGCCAGGAATCCCAACATTCACATGTCATGAAGTCATCCCACGCTAGTGTGACATCCCCCATCATCTGTACATTCATCAAACCATATAAATGTATGTTCCTATCCAGAAATGCCACAGCACTTGCACCTCCCGTGGAGCCAGGAAGCAGGCTGGGAACTGTGCTGCCCACTGAGGAAGGGAGTGGTCTCACTTTACAGATAAAGGAACTTAAAGTACGAAAAACACTGACTCCTGGGGTGGTGAGATTGGGCATCAGGTCAATGCAAGTGCTCAGACTGATGCCGAGTTTGACCCCACAATGGAAGGAGAGAACTGAGCTCAAAAATGTCCTCTGACTTCCACATTTACCCACACTCATACAAACACACGCACACAATAAATAAATAAGTAAATAAACAAAAAACACATGACTCTAAATCGCCCCAAGTGACAGAACTCACGACAATTACACATCATCTCTTCGGAAAGTCACACACACTGGGCCCTAAATCACAGAGCACTATTACATGGCCCACTTCAGCATTTTGTAAATGAACAGACAAGACTACTAAAGCCCTGCCCACTGGACTTTGCTGTGTAGGAGAGACCTAAAACAATCTGAAAAAGAGCTTCAACAAGGACTTACCATGGGACAAATCAATGGCTGCCATCCCGTGATGCTGACGGTGAAATGTGCCTGAACACTCCCTTCCCTGATGCCAAGATCACTTCGGGACAGCTTATGAATCTAAGTGGACAGAGGCAATCTCCATTCCTCTTTATACAGGGTTATATGGAGTCCTGTTCACATCAATCATTAATCAACATCGAACATCAGTCAGCAAACATCACACAGTAGTGCTCACTCTCTGCAGATAATATATGTGAAACCCACCAGCAAACATCTACTCACTAACAATAGCTGTACGAACACCAATTAACATTTGCTAGTTTTATCAGAAGTTGTGCTAGGACCTATACCTATATAAGCTCATGTTATCATAACCATTCTACAAATTAGATAACATTGCCCATGCTGAAACACCCACATTCAGGCAGCACTAGTAATCAATCTAGTATTACCCAGTTTGGAAATGAACTGAGACTTGATGATGCCGAGTTTGTCCAGAAAGCTTGACTTTCTATGATTGCTACTGCTCCCTAACTAAAGAAGACAAGGACCCACCCTCCCACTCTTCAGGCATAACTAGTTCCATATGTAAACAACATTGTATGTACATATTTGACTTAATTTTAAAAACTAAAATATTTTTAAAAATCAACATGACCATTATCTGACAACTCTCAAGTGTGTTTGGCACAGGGCCCGATGGTACACACTTATAACATTAGCACTTAAGAGGCCAAGGCAAGAAGACTTTAAGTTAGAGCCTCACCTGCAAAAAGACCTTTCTTAAAAAACAAACAAAACAAAAAAGCAAATCCCCCTCCCCCAGGTTTGGAATGGCTTGTCTACTGAAGCTACTTTACTTTTTCTTTTCTCTTTAAGAATAGTATCTCACACATTGTGATAAAAGAGCTGGCCTCAAACTCACCACGTAGCTGAGGATGACTTTGAACTTCTGATCCTTCTACTTCTATTTCACAACTACTAGGTTTATAGATGTGTTCCACCATGTCTGTTTTATGTGGTGCTGGGGATAAAACTCAGGGCTTTGCGTATGCTAGACAAGCACTCTACCATGAGGCTACATCCCCAGCCCTGTGTTTGTAACTGAACTGTTCCCAGGGCCTCAAGCTAAAAACACACTCTACCACTAATCTACAGCCTAGCTTGTCAATCTTTCAAAACTACTAATCTCAATTTATTATAAACATAAATCAAATATGTCTGGAAAGAATGTAAGCATCTGAATTTTTTTATTAAGAACTAAAATGGTATTTTCAATATAGCGGTTAAAATAAAAACATTATTACAAATAATCTTACCTCTTCTATTTCATTTACTGTAGGTACTGGAAGTTTATTTCAGGTCTGGCTTATTCTTTAATTCTTTCAGCAAATTATTAGGAAGTCCTATTCTTGTGGTAGGCATGAGCAGAGCAGGGAAGGACACAGAAAATATCCTGTTCTGTAAAGATCTAGAAGTCCTATGGGGAAATATAATCATAACAAAAGAACCGATATATTACTTCATAATTGCTACAGGGAAAGTCAAGCAGGTGAGAAGAGTCCTGCATAAGCATACACAGGAAGCACAAAACTGCAAACTGGTTTGGGACAAGATGGCAACACAAAAAGAAATCCAACACTGGCTGTATCATCCTTGACACAGAGATTAGCACAAGAATTGACAGGAACTGAGGGCAGGAGGGATGGCTCCCTGTCTTAAGGGCACTCGGCTGCTCTTTCAAAGGACCTGGGTTCAATTCCCAGCACCCACATGGCAGCTCACATGGTGTATCTGTAATTCCAGTTCCAGGGGATCCAACACTCTGTGAGGACCAGACATAACAGCGCACACACATGCAGGCAAACCACCATTCATATAAAATCAGAATAATTTAAATTTTCCAAAAACAAACACTGAAGAGAGTGTTCAGCCAGTAAAGCACTTGCCATGAAAGCAAGTGGGTTCTAACATCAGTACCTACACAAAAATCTGGACATGAGGCAAAGATAGGAAGATCACTGGCCAGTCTCATCAAATTAGAGAGCTCTGGGGTTAAACGAGAGATCCTGTCCCAAAACATAAGATGGATGAGGACTAGAGAGATGCCTGAGCAATTAAGAGCACTTGCAGAGGCACCGAGTTCAATTCCTGGACTCCACATCCAGCAACCACTTGTTAACTTCAGCTCCAGAGAAATCTTTTGGCCTCTTTTGGCCTCTGAGGGTGCCCATACACACATGGGAGACAAAAACACAATAACAATAAAACTAAATCTTTAAAAAATAATAAGGTAAAGAGTAACTGCAGAAGACACTGAACAGTTTCCTCTGGCCTCTATACATACACATACATACATACACACACACACAAACACACACACACACACACACACACACACACACTCAGAGCACATTTCAAGTACTAGAGTCTTGGTTGGAAAGTAGAATCACACATAAATACCCTTTCTTCTTCATACAGGTCAGAATCCACCAGATTCTTTAGTATGGTATACCTTCTAAAATAAAGAGTGTTAGGTCCCCCCACCAAGAAAGTGTCAATTTTCATCTTTTTCTTCTTCTCTTTATCTACCCTGATCACAACAGGAAGACTTGGTTGGCCTTGAACTCACAATCCTGCCTCTACTTTCTGAGTAGAGTGTTACCATGTGTCATCCAAGTCCTTCGTTTTGTGATGCTGAGGACAGAACCTAGGACAACAGCACAACAGGCAGATGCTCAACCACTAAAGCTGCATGCCCAGCCAGGGGTTGGCTTTTTCATTTTCAAGCTTATTTTCACTTCTCCAACAAATTTCCTTTTTTTTGTTTTTTTGTTGTTGTTATCTTGCAATATATAGTGTAAAGACCCATGAAAGTCAAGTGTGATGGGGGAGGTTTTGTAATCCCAACACTTTCAAGACAGAAACAAGAAGACTTCAAAGTCAGCCTGGACTAAATAGCAATAGTTTCTAACTTTTTAAAACACTAGACCCGTAATCTAAGCTACTGGGGAAGCTGAAATAAAAAGATAGGACCTAAAGTTCAAAGCCAGCTTAAGCTATAGAATGAATTCAAGGCCAGTCTGGGCATGTTAATAGGATCCTGTCTCAAAAGGTCCAAAGGGCTAAGGATGTAGCTCAATATTAGAGCACTTGCCTAGCAAGCATTATGTCACACCTTCTAAATAATAAATGGCCGGTGAGATGGCTGGGCAGGCAAAGGTTCATATTGCTAACCCTGATAACCTGAGTCCTATCTATTGCCAGGTCCCATGCTGAAACTTCTCCTCTGACCTCCACATACACACTGTGGCATATGCGCTCTTCCCACAAATAATTACAAGATTTCATAAAGCCAATAGAACAGCCAAGCTAGTGCTCTACACAGGGACATTTCAATGAACGCTGAAAGTCCCATAGCTCATTATTCACCAACCAAATTCATTGACACAAAATCCCTATGAATGAATCCCAAATGCTGGAATAACTAATGTCTAAAAATCACATTTAGACCACAAGGACAGATAGAGCCCACTACAATTACCCCTAGAATCCTGTCCTCGGGTCGCTTGTTAACCCGTGCTGGGGTCTCTCAGATACAGGAAGCAGCAGCTCCTTACAGTGGGAAAGGTATCAAGTAAACCCCCATGAATCACATGGTTATCTGTGGGAGACGGCAATGCTAAAAAACGTTGCCTTAAATGCCAACAGCAGCAGCTAATTGTTTGCTTTTCAGCCAATGCTCGGATAGGTGGGCTCATGCATGCTGGCTAAGTACTTTCCCACAATATCCACAACCATGATGGTATCTTCTTACTTCATAGCCCAAACTGGTCTCTAACTTACAGCAATTCTGTCTCAGCTTTTTTCAATGGAATGTTTTGTTTTCTTTTTGTTTGATGAAGTTTTTTATTTATTGTTGTTTTGTTGTTGTTACTGTTGTTTTGGGTTTATGAAATGGCTCACTGGATAAAAGTGGATGCCATAAAGTCTAACAATCTGAGTTTGATTCACAGATCTCCAAACTGTCCTTTGGCCTCAATGTGTATGTCATGGCATAAGCATACCTCAGTACACACACACAAAATAAATAAATTTTAAAAAGTTAATTTTGCAAGTCTTTTTTTACTTGTGTATGCAGTTGTATTCATCTGTGCAGACAAACGTGGAAACCAGAAATTCATGTTTGGTGTCGTCCTCTATGGCTCTTATTTTTTGAGACAGTCTCTTTTAGTGAACTTTGGGGTTTCTGTTTAGACTAGAATGTGGCAGGTCAGTAGGCTTCAGGGATCTAACGGTCTCTGCATCCCAGCTGATAGGGAGCCAAACCCACCCACATTCTTCTGCTTGCGCAGCTACCAGATAAGTCTTTTTTTTTTTTTAATCTATTTATTACATAATGTTCTGCCTACATGCCAGAAGAGGGCACCAGATCTCATTATAGATGGTTATGAGCACCAGGTGGTTGCTGGGAATTGAACTCAAGACATTTGGAAGAGCAGCCAGTGCTCTTAACCCGAGATCTCTCCAGCCCCTCAGATAGTCTTTTAATGTGCTTGTGTCAGAAGCATGACTCCTAATACAAGCATGTTCAGAAGTGGGGTTTTAAAACTGATGGGCTCAAAAAGGCTCTAACCTCATCAATGGTTCATCAATCTGATGTACTCAGAGCTTGACAGATATCTTAATATTCTGTTGCTGTGATAAAATACTCTGACCACAGTTACCTAAGGAAGGCAGAGTTTATCTGGCTTACAGTTCTAGGGAACAAACAGTCTGCCATGGTGAAGTCATAATGTAGGAGCTGGAAGCAGCTGGTCACACTGAATCTGCAGTCAGGAAGCAGAAGTCAATGAATACTGAAGCTCAGTTCCTTCATCCTTGTCCAAGACCCAGTCTATAAACTCCTGCTATCTATATTTTGGGTGCCACCCACCTCTATTAGCCTGACCTAGATAATTCTCCCATGTATGCCCACAGGCTCCTTTCCTGGACAATTCCAAGTACTATCAAATGGGAAATCAGTATAAACCATCACAGGGCCTTAGTGAGAGACATGAGCCTTTTTATAGGCTTTCACTTTCAGCTCTCCACTGGTTTGGTACAGTTCCTTTGTTCTGTGTGATTCCCTGTGTTTTACTCTATGTGTTTCTCTCTGGCACCTGTGACTAAATCTTTAGTTCACGTTTCTCCAGTGTAAGTTTTTCGGCTATGTCAAAGTGATCCCCTAAGACTCATTCCCCTGTTGGGAGTAGGCCACTGGGGACTGCCTTTGAAGGGTATATCCTGTCCCTTGCCCCTTCCCATGGTTTTCGTTTTTCAGTTCTGGCTGCCAAAAGATATACAACCTCCTTTACTGTATGCTTTTGCATCTTGATGCTCAGCCTCACCTAAGGCCAAAAGCCATGAGGCGAAGAGATCACAGACTTCTGAAAAATAGGCCTAAATTCATCTTTCATAGACAATAGTGTTGCACAGTTCTCCCAGGTTTCTGTTCACTGACAAAACACAGGGGTTTTTCCTGCAAGTCTGGGTGGAATACATATGCAAAAGTCATGGAAGGATTTAACTGGTATCAAAAGGTCACTATCAGCCATGGCAATGAGGAGAATTTGAGGCACAGACCATTTTTATCACACTAGTGTATCTGGCTGACTCAGCTAAGTGATACTGCAGCATTAGAAAATACAAAGTTTTACTCTTATGATATTACAATACAAGGGTAAGAGCACTGTCTGCTCTTCCAGAGGACTGGGGTAGTTAGCACCCACATAGTGGCTAACTACTGGATCTGTAACTCCAGGATTAGAGGATCAAGTGTCATTTTATGGTTTCACAGGCACCACACATATGGTTCACGGACATTGGTAAAACATCAGTACACATAAAATACATAGTTTTTTAAAATTTACTATGCAGGTTGCCAGTACTACAGTTAGTACTACTTGCATAGAATGCACAAAACCCTGAACTGCACTTCCGGCACCACATGAACCAGGTATGGTTACACAAGCCTCTAATCCTAGCACTCCAGAGGTAGAAGGAGGATCATAAATTCAGGGCCATCCTCAGCTACATGCTGAGCTCAAAACCAGTCTGGGCTATATGAGATACCATCTTTTTAAAAAGATAACTTACAATACAAATTGTGTATGGAGGCCAAGGAGCAAAGACTGACTTTGAGGCCAGCAAGAGGAAAACTGAGAGACCCTATTACACAAAAAACAAAATAGGGGTAGAGCTCACTGGCAGAACGCGTGCCTAGTATTCCTCAGGCAGAGGACTTCGTTAGGAACTAAAAAAATACAATAAAAGCATACAATAAACTAGGCAACTCAGGGGCCAGAGATGCCTCAGAGGTTAACAGTATTTACTGCTCTTCAGGAGGCTCCAGGTTTGATTCCTAGCACCCATGGCATCTCACAACCATCTGTAATTATAAATCCAAAGAATCTGACACTCTCTTCTGGCCTCGCAAAG